CCACACCATACAAACCATTTAGTAGAAATCTGAACAGAGATAAAGCCATAGACCCAGTAATGTCCTGATCTTGCACCTGTGGAGCAGGATCCCACTGATGGCCAAGCTTCATAGTTTCATAGTTTCATAGTTTCAGGGTCAGAAGGGACCTAATAGATCTTCTAGCCCGACCCCCCGCCAGGGCGGGAGAACAACCCAAAAAAAAATAACAAAAAAACAAAAAACACTCACCCTAAAAACAAAAACGGGACTCAAATGAGTCCAGCCAGGTAAGTGTCCAGTCTCTTCTTAAAGATCCCCAGGGTAGGGGCCAGCACCACCTCCCTTGGAAGTTGGTTCCAGCTCCTAGCCGCCCTAACTGTGAAGTAGTTTTTTCGGATGTCCAATCTGTACCTCCTCTCCATCAACTTGTGCCCATTACTCCTTGTTATGCCAGCAGGGGCTAGGGGAAACAGCGTCTCCCCCCAACCCTTCTGGTTCCCCCTAGTGAGTTTATAGACGGTCACCAGGTCCCCCCTCAGCCTTCTCTTGTGGAGGCTGAATAGGTTCAAGTCCCGCAGTCTCTCACTGTAGGGTCTGCCCTGTTGTCCCCGGATCATGCGGGTGGCCCTCCTCTGGACCCTCTCCATGTTGTCCACATCCCTCCTGAAATGGGGCGCACAGAACTGGACACAGTACTCCAGCTGCGGCCTGACCAGCGTCGCATAGAGGGGGAGGATCACCTCCCTGGCTCTACTCGAGAGCTACTGTAATGCAATTTACTCCCAACAGTCCATCACACTGGGAGATCCGATTGCAGGGCCCAGGACAGGTGTTCTCTAAAAGATGATCCTTCCTTTAAAACTCTTCAAAGGGCTGTGATTAACTCCTCTGTATCCTCTGAAGAAAGACCACTGCCTCCCTGACTCCTCCAGTAGTGACTCCATGAAGACCTTGTTTCTCTTTGGTATAAAAATGCAGTGCATTCAGGGGCAGATCCTGCAGGCCATTCATTCCCCAGGAACCTGACAGCAGGTTCTGGCCATTAGTGGCTCTTCTGGTTATACTGCCGTGCTCTGTAACCTACACTTGCCAAACAAGGTGGGACCCTCAGGAGTTCTCAGCATTGGCGTGACTTTGCTCCTTGGAAGTTGGTAGGAGTTTTGCAACTTGGGGAATAAGAGTTGGGCTAATGACAGCCAGTAGCATTTGAGCATCCTGCCCTAGCTAGCTAATGAACAGCTTGCCTCCCACCCCCATTGCTCTGTGATCACTTAATGAAAAATCCCATTGTGATGGACAAGAGTCAAGATTTTTGTGGCAGCCTCTCCTAGCTTTTGTGGGTTCCCAGTATTACCACTGTATTACCATTACTGGCCTTTAATTTCTCTGGTCTAAGAGAGACAGAGAAAGTACAAGACCCTCAGGCCATGAAAGGTCTTGCTGCTGGTGCTGTCTGGTGGGGTCAGAAAGGATGTCTCTTCATATACAGCACTGAATAAATGCTTAGGTGTATTAGAGAAGGCATAACTTCCTTAAAACATCAGATATTGCATGTGATATTCATGGAAGTATGCTTTGCTCCAGCATGGCATCTCCAATTATCTGAAGGGCAGGAGGGACTAAAGTTTTCTCTGCCCCCTGGCCTTTGCTTTGATTACCTTGGTTTTCCAATCAGATTGCATTTCAGGCTTTCCAGAATACATGCAATTGAGAAGAGTGATCAGACTTCTCCCTGGCTAGGGTTCACTAGTGTAATGCTGAGCAGGCGAGTGGGGTATGAGTCCTGGGGGAAACCACTGGAATGGAGGTAGGGGGGCACCTCACCCCCATGCACCCCCCTGCCACCCTTACATCTTATACATTCCCTACAGTGGTTCCAGCTCTGAATCTGGCTCTGGCTCCAGCTCCAGGGAGCACAGAGTATCAGCGGTTGAGGACAGAGCAGCCCCTCCTGTTTTGGCACTGAAAAATGGTGTTTAAATGGCTGCATGACACACATGTTGGTAGCCAAAAAAGGAGTTGACAGCCCCATTCCTTGGAGCAGCAAACGTCTGGCTGTGGCCTCTGCACCATGCACTGCCACCACCCAGGGTGCAGTACCAGCTGGTTATACCTCTGCTAATGTCCAAGATAAGCAGTGAGAGAAAGAAAAGTAAAGGTGGCTTAGCTGGAGAGAGTTCCTGATCTGGGCTTTTCTGGAATATGCTTTCCATAAAACTTTGTGGTAGATGTAAAAATATTATGCATGGTACCTAGAAAGGTCTCCAGACCTCTTCTCTGTCTCTCCTGTGTCCCTACTATTGACTTGCAAATAAACCTGTGCCTTTTCCCAGACCTAGCTAGGTCATGATAAACATTCAGCAGAGAATCAGGGTTTGATTTTACCTTTACACATAAGTCTTTATTCCCCTTACCTGAAATCTCATTGGTTTGAAAAATACCTCACAAATGAAGTTGTGTCCTCACAAATACCACAGATCTCATTGCAGCCTGGGCAAGGTGTGGTATTCATGATGTCATCAGAGGAGATGACAGCATTTCTGGAGCATTTTCAGGGCATACAGAAATACAAAGAGGATTCCCAAGAGGGCAAGAACTTCTGAAAGGTTCGTTGCTGTTATTAATCTGTGCAGCAGGCCAAAGCCGCTTTGTTTTAGGCACGCTTTCTCTATAAGGCCCCTTAGTCGCGTCTACACAAGACACTGACTGTGTGATAGCCCGAAACTACTGCACAGTAGCGTTGCATGGCAGAAATCATGATGCGAGGCTACTGAGCAGTAGTCTTGAGCTACTGTGCAGTCAGTGCCATGATAAAGCCATTCATCGGCACTACCGCGCAGTAATGCAGGTTACTGCGCAATCATTTAGGACTTGTTTATACAAATATTAAACGACTGTGCAGTAATAACTACACAGTCAATGTCTCATATAGTTGTGGCCCCTGTAGCCCTCTGTACCCAAGAGGAAAAATAATTAGTGTATTTAAAAAGCACTTTTTAGGAGGGGTACATGTGCAAGTGCTTTGCAAAGATGAGTAATATTGTCCTCATTTTACTTAAAGGAAAATTGAGGCACACTTAAGTGACTCACCCTGGGCCCCACAGGGTGCGTCTACATATGATGCTACATTGCTGTAGTAATGCACTACGGTGACATAGCATTGGTGGTCACAAACCATGACACTGCAGTTACATCACTGTAGCAATGCACTCCCTTGTTATAGCATGTTGCTATGGCGATGTAGCAGCTAAATATAACTCAAGTGTGGCATGCATGACACAGTATGGGCTGTTACTGCATTGTCGTTTAGTACTTTCAAAAGGAAGTAAGTACTAAATGATGGTGCAGTAACAAAGGTGCCATAGGGACATGTGTAGATGCACCCACAGTGAGTCAGTGACAGAGATGGGAACAATAGGACTCTTGACTCCCATTCTCTTGCTCTGTTTGCAGCACCATGCTAGTTTCTATTAGGACACGGAGGGTGAATGGGATAGAAATCTGCTTAGCTCAGTGTTCAGTCATCCTTAGCATCTGCTGTTGGTTATCTCTTAGTGTTATCCCTCAGCCCTTCACGCTCCTTTTTTAAAACATCTTTGCCCCGACCAGACACCAACTCAAAAGAGCACAGTGCCACTACACAGGACCTGCTACCCACAGTGTCTGACCAGCCCAGTGGCCCTGGGAGCAGCAGCACTAAGACAAGGTGAGATGGGAATGCCAGACAGTACAGACTGTCCAGGGCTCACAGGCTGATCCCACCCACCTTCCTCTACAGAGGCAAATCTGCCCTTTTGCTCTGTGCTGCTTCACTTCATCTCCCCCCATCCTTTCTGCTCTTTCTCCCGTGCTCTCTTGCACATGCTGCCCAGCCAGACAGCTCTCTTCTGTCCCTCCCATCACCAGCTGCCTGTCTGCCTCACTTCCTCCTGCTCCAGCTCCTTCTGGCAGCTGCAGTCTCCCAGGCAGTTCTGGTCCCTGCAGGCAGCTTCTGTTTCCTCCCCTGTGGTAGGGCAATGGTCCCCAGTGGAGGCAATCAGGCTGGTTCCTTCTTGTTTCCAGCCACCTATTTGGGCTTCTTAGCAATGAACAGTCTGACACCTGCAGGAACCTACACTAGGTAGGCACCGCCTGTGACCTGGGAGCTCTCCACAGGTGATGGCTCACAAACTACAGCCTGAGCATCACTGTTTTGGTTTACTGAGCTAAAACATACATGGCTTACGCAAAGTTCTTCAATGCCACTTGATATGAAATGGGGCCCCTTATGTGAGCAAAGGCTAGTCCCATGAATAAGGGTTGCAGAACTGGGCCCTTAGGGGTCTAGCATAGAGTCCTCCCCTGTCCTTCCTTGTACAATTTACTCTCTCAATTCTGAGTGCGTGAAAATTCTTCCCTCCTCTGTCCCAACACTGGGTGGGTTGGGTCACTATTGCCATCCAGTACTGTCCTCCCCACAACCACCTCTGCACCAGGTAATTGTTGTTCTGGGCTTTTGCAGACTGTAAATTCCAAAGAAAGTGAAGGAAACAATCATGTTAAAAAATGCTGGGGAAAATTGTCAAACAAAGGATCATGTACTGTAAGAAAAGGCAAAGCCAAGCCAATATTATAAAGAATTGCAGTGTCCAGGGGGTGAAATGTGCCCTGGTGTGGTGGGAAGGTAGGAAATCTAAGGGTTCCATAAATCCAGCATAAGCCCAAACTTCAGAAAGGCTTGTGAGGTGCTCTGGTCTACACCTTCCCACTATTACAGAAATGCATTTCACCCAAGGAGCACCTGAAGAAGCTGAGGCCAGTATATCCTGATACCACAGCATATCCTGATCCTGTAGTATTTAGGATACGGCTTTTTTTTCTGAGACTGTATATGATATATTTGCAAGTCCCATAAAAACTCCCCGCTCAGAGGCTGGTGTCATGACACCATCAGGTGGTTTAATCTTTCCTTACAT